GTTAGTGTTTACATGGTATATGTCTTTCCATACTTCCATTTTTAACTTACATGTGTTTTATATTTGAAATGGGGTTTATTTCTAGGTAGCACACAATTTAATACTGCTATTTAAAGTCATTCTGACAATCTGTGCATTTAAATTGGATTGTTAACTTATAAAAAATAGTTGAGTTCCTGTCTATCTTTCTTCTTCATCTTGCTTTTGTCCCTCTTTTATTTTGGATTAATTATGCATCATTGTTGACTTCTACGTTTGTCTTCACTCTTGTCTTACTAGCTAGAACTGGTTTTCCTTAGAGATTGTTCCAGGACAGCAATTCAAAAACATTTTGGTATTTGGGGCAAGACCCTTTTATAAAATATTGAGGATCTCAACATTCACGAATGTGGATTTTATATAGACAGATAGGTAGATAGATAGATTAGATATTATATTAGAAATGAAAATTTAGTAATTAAAAGTATGAATTATTTAAAAAAACACAAAATGTGTTATATACTAACATAAATACCATTTCAATTTAAAAACTATTTTCTGAAACAAAAAAATTACTGAGAAGAGTAGTAGTATTTGACTTTTTTTGGTAAAGTTCTTTAATTTCTAGCTTAGTGGGTGAGTTCTATGTCTTCTTCATTTAGTTTGTTATGATATCACACATGTCACCTCTGGGAAACTCCACTAATTTACATCAGGAAGATGAGGGAAAAGGGCAAATGCCATCTAAGTATTTATTATAAAAATAATTTAAAACTTTTCACTCCTGATTACATTTTTGGCATGCTATTCTGAGGCTTGCAATATGTAATTTAAACTTATCAAAAGATTTTTTTTTGGAGGTACTGGGGTTTGAACTCAGGATCTTACGCTTGCTGGGAAGGCATTCTACCACCTGACCCATACCACCAGTCTATCACAGGATTTTTGAAATATTATTCTATTTCAGTTATAGGACTGTTTTAATACTGTATTTCTATCTAAACCCTCCATCATTTTTGTGTTGTTATCACATAACAGTTTACTTCTAATTGATAAACTCCCCAATAATTTTTCATCTTTATAACTTAAGCAATTTAAAGAAATTTGAAAGTTAGGAAAGTTTAAAAAATATTAGCACACATGGTCACCATTTCTGTCTTTCTTCATTCCATTGTGTAGCTCCAGTTTTCCATCTGGTATAATTTCCTTTTGCCTGAAGAATTTCCTCTATCATTTTTTTTACTGCAGATCTGTCACTGATGAATTCTTTGACTTTTGTTTGAAAATATTTTATTTTGATTTCCTTTTTGAAGAATGTTTTTCATTAGATATAGAATTCTAGGCTGACACTTTCTTCCACTCCTTAAAATATGCTGTTTAGGGCTGGGGTATAGCTCAGTGATAGAGCACTTGCTTAGCATGAGTAAGACCTTGGGTTCAATCCCAGCCCCCAAACCCAAACCAAACAAAATGAACAAAAAACGCCTCAGATTCTAAGTTTTTCTCTTTATCAGTGGCTTTCAATTTGATTTGGATGAGCCTTGGGGCAGAAGTGTGGTCGTGTGTGTGTGTGTGTGTGTGTGGTTATCTCCTTTGACTTTGTGGAACTTCTTCGACATAGAGATTATAGTTTTTATCACATTTGGAAAATATTCAATTATTATTTCTTTATACATTTTGTCCCTCTTACCTCTCCTTATGATACTTCAAATATATGGTGTTAAACTACTTACTCTTGTACTATACATCACTGAGGTGATCGTCACTTTTTTTTTTTCAGCTAAAATATCTCTGTGCTTCAGTTTGATTAGATTTGGGTCTACTAATATTTATCTCTTCACTGTCTAATATGCTATTAGTTCCATCTAGTGAGATTATACAAGTATATATTGTATAAATATTTGCTATATGTTTTATCTCTAAATTTCTACTTGGTTCTTTTAAAAACATCCCATGTCTCTCTTCAGTACTTTTCTGTATTAAGTACTTGAATGTAGTTTGCCAGGCTTATTGTCTGTCATTTCAAGGATTATTTCCACTGACTGATTTTTCTTAATTATGGGTCACATTTTCTTGCCTTTTGGTGTGTCTGTAGTTTTTGACTGGTTCTGCCATCATGATAATTCATAGAGTGACTTGAAGTTGTCAGTAATTAAGAGATCAGTTCGATCTCTGTGAGGTCTGTTCTCAGGCTTTGCTAGAGTGAGTCTTTAGTACCTTCACTCCAAGGATGGTTAGGCCCTTTTTCAAATGTGTGACTCTTCTGAGGTTTCCATTGAATAACCAAGTGGTCACCATGACTCCAATCTGAGAGTCGGAGTTCAACATGTATCTCCACCCTTTGCAAGATAAGAAATTGTTCTGCTATCAACTCTGCCATCAGAGCTGCCAGTTTGTGGAAGTTCCCTTATTACTCATCAAAGATCACGAGGATCCCTATATAGACTGCTGGAGCTCTTTTTTTCTCCTTTTTTTCTCATACCTCACATTGATCCAGTCCAGCTTCACAACATCTAGCTGTTGCAGCCTCCCCAAATCCTGACCATTTTCTGAACTCACAATGGCTGCCAAGCTCTGTTCTGTTTTTATCTGCTTTTCTCATGGTGGATTGGAAATTGTCTCCAGGTACAGTGCCAGGACAATTAGAGGAATCATCTGACATGTTTCTTTTCTCTTGGAGTCAGAGAGATTGTTGTCCAGTGGGTGAGAGCAGCCATATCATCTATTTAGTCCAGGTTTTTAGATGTGAGATGGCTAACTCTAGTTTTTATTGGTCTATCATGGTTGGAGGTGGGAATCTACTATGAGTTTTTAAACATTTCTTAGGCCATGACACCCTCAGTTTTATTAACTAATAATGATCAAATATACATGGCAGTGGAATACATTGGTTAAACATCACCATATGATGGCTTTTTTCAATATTTCTGAGAGACTTTAAAAATGGCTGTTTAGAACTAGAACTCCAGTTGTGGTTGTAAAATAGTCTCTTCCTGTGACACTTACTGCCATATGTCCGGAATTCTGCTTTCATGAGTTCTGATAACTGATCCTGTGCTTCAGATTCCAGATTCTTAGCTCTATCCTATCTTAATTTAAAAACAAGTCTCTAAGTGCCTTTGTAAACTAGATGGATTTTCTCAGTCATCACGTCTCATCTGGCTTAGGTGCTCCTTCACATATCAACCCAGGCAGCAGCTGAGGGGTTGAGATTTCTCAAGATGCCAACATAACAGGTGTTGGAAAAACTCTCCCAGCTTTCTACACTTGCAATTCCATGGTCAGAGGACTAAGTGAGTCCCTGGTTTGAATCGCTTATTGTCAATAATTAACCAAAGCTAAGTTGGAATGGTTCGCACCCTCTTGAGGCTTCTTGCTAGAAGAAAGCTAAGTTATTTTTAGATTTGAAGGAGTGTGGGGTCAGAAGTAAGGCAACCTTAAGGCCCTCATGCCTCAAGTTACTTTGAATTTGCTTTTTTCAGCCTCATGTAGGAAGCGAGGACGCAAGTGGTTGCTAAGTCTTTAGATGTCACCATCACTGCCTAAGGCTGACTAGGACAAGGTGTTTGGGAGCTAAAGGAGGGAAGGCTTTAAGAAAAAGTGAGGGAGCTAGGGTCACATGGGTCACCGCCCCTGGCATGGACAGCTATTCCATCTTATGGTCTGAGAGGATTTTGACTGGAATACAATTCTATAAATTAATTCTTATTATTGGGTATGAAAAGCATCAGGACATACCTATTTAAATAACCATTGATGGATTTTTTTCTTTGCTCTGAGCGGTACATAGAATTGGATCTGATTTTATCTTTTCTTTTCAATAAACAGGCCCATAAACATTAAATCCCAAGCAGAATGATATTTAGTATTTTATAGTCTGTAGCATTCAAGGCTTTCTGGAATAATTCTGGACAAAAGTTCTAGAAACTGGCAAAAAAGGATGGCATGTATGTTCTATCAAATGAGAAGTCCAAAATATGTATTCAACAAAAAAAAGAAAGAGCATGTTCCAGAATGATGTGTACTCCAACAAGGATAATAGAATTTATACTGAGAAGTTCTTTACATATACAACAAATGGTATATAGACAGGTGTCCATAGTACATAAACAATGCATCTGTCTGTATATGAGTAGAAAAATCTCATTAACTATTAATGAGTTAGGCAGAGTGGTCACTTCTGAGTTTCCTTTTAGGGGAGAAAGGATATTTATCTTTTACCTTGTTACTTCTCTGAATTAGCAATTTAAAAGCTAACATTTATTAAGTACTTACTGTGTGCGTAACACTGTGATACACATTTCAAATACTTCCCATTGTCTCAATCCTTGGAACCATGTGTCCACTCAGGAATTTGTCTGTTGGAGGTGCTTAGAAGGAGCAAAGGCCAGGAATGGAAACCCGGCCCTGGTTATAAGCTGTGTCTGAACACTAACCAAGCAACTGTTTCTCAGTGTACATGTTTATTTAGGATGACATGATAGGAGAGGAGATGCTTCCAAGGAACCCCTTGCTGGTATACTGCTTATAACAATCTAAAGGAGAAAGTGCTATTATTATCATCTTATTCTCTATTATTTATAGATGAGGCAACTAAGGATCAGAGAGATTATGTAATTTACCCTACCTCACATAGCTAATAAATAGCAGGGCCAAGACCAGAAATCTCTATGTTGAAAGGCACAGCTCAGTCTTTTGATTTGAAAAAATCAAAAGTGCTTGTATAAGGGAAGCCTTAGTTTCAGCCCCCAGTAACTGCCCCCAAAGAAAAATCAGAAACTCAAATGACTGTTTTTTTTCTTTAAATGTGATCTTAATACACTTTAGAGACACAGAAATGAAAAAGAATATTATCACTTGAGAAGTGTGGATAAAAGATTAGAACAAATGTCTAATGAGTTCTGGAGCATTGTAGCTGATACTGTCAGATGTGTTCTTTTATTTGGATGTTTTATGAAATTCATTTATGTGGTTTTCTTTTTTTTTTAACAGGAGAGATTTACAAATTGTGTTTGGACACCATGGAACCTGTAGGTTCTACTTTAATAGCAACTTATGCGCACCTTAAACCAACACCAACCAACTTTCTACCAGCCATTGGGGGCATCACATCAAGCTACAGAGACCGCTTTCCCCATTACAATGTGACGCATAGCTTGAGCCTTCCTTGGAGACCGAGCACATACTACAAAGTGGCCTCCAACTCACCAACCCTGGGCCCATACTGTACCAGAGCTCAGAGGGTGTCCGAGAGCACCATGGCTCCCTTTGTTTCCAACAGAACCACTCTCTTCACCAGATACACTCTTGATGATTGGTACAGGTCCAATTTAACCAACTACCAAGAGTCCAGTACTTCCCGACATAATTCAGAAAGACTTAGGGTAGACACATCTCGTCTCATTCAAGACAAATACCAGCAAATCAGAAAAACCCAGGTGGACTCGACTCAAAATTTGGGAGAACGTGTCAATGACATAGGGTTTTGGAAATCTGAAATCACTCATGAGTTGGATGAACTGATTGGAGAAACAAATGCAATTTCTGATCTTAAAAGAAGGTTGGAGAGGGCTTTGATAGAGACAGAAGCCCCTCTGCAGGTAAGTGTGAGAGCTGATGACCAAAGGCACTGCATTTTGATTATTATCCTTGGCTGGATGATTTTCTGAGGTTCTATATATTTCAAATTGTTTTATTTCCCCTGTAGAAGCAATCCCCTATCAATAAACCTATAATTGGGTTCATTAATGGCAAAACCATTGCCATTTTTATATATCATACAGAGCAACCACTCTAAGAAAGAAATCTGAGTGCAAAGCAGAGTAGACTAACTAAGGAGACACCATGAAAGCACATGATATTTTATGGTAAAAAAGACCACCTTCTTGTCTCTTAAAAAGACTGCTTTAATTATCCTGGCACTAGATAGAGATAAAAAATTCAGAAAAATTTATTTTTTAAGAAAAAATTCTCTCCATCTGTGTCATGAAATGTCTCCTACATACATGTTATAATTCTGTTTCAAAGCACAAATTATCAAATGAGACCACTTTAGGAGATGGAGTGAGTTTTATTGAATAGAGAAACAGGCCTGAGCTTGGGTCAGTTGCCATTTTCTAAAATAGAGGCAGCAATTCAGTTAGTTGCTGCTTACTGGCCAGGTTCTGAGTGGGCTCACAGCTAACACCATTTATCTTCATGTTTGCATGACTTATTTCTTGTGCAAAAAGCATTGTAGTGGATGTTTACCACATCTGTAGCATAAAAATTTAGAAGACCAATGGGCTGGGAGTTAGAGGTTTGAGGAGTTTGTTAGATATCTTTGCCCACTGTCACTTCTTGTCATATCCCCAGTCTGCTAACTACAAACACATGGCCCACAGAATCCAGATAAAGGTTGCTCATACACAAATGGTATCTTTTTAAAGTAATTCATCCTGAATTATTATTGACAATCAGGAGGCCATCTAGGCCTTCCCCATTCTCTCCCTTCCCCCCTACCTTCAAGGACTGAAAGTACCCTTAAAACCTCAGCCACTTACTTTCTTCCTTAATTTCCAAATGAGATTCTGTTTCCTCTCCCACTTCCCCTCTCCCTGATGACTGATTTCACTGAGATGTTTCTAATGTGATTTTTTTCTCCAATTTTTGTCTGGATGTTCTTGTATGTTGGAACATTTACTGTCAATACAATATTAATTAGGTCCTGATTAAAATCAGAGCTAGTCAAATAAACAGATAATTCTCAAAAGAGAAAATATAAGTCATCAACTAATATAAGGAAAATCATTAAAATTTTATAATACCATCAGTTAAATCAGTAAGGTGACCATCTTTGGCCTATCAAATTTGTGTCAATGAGTACTCATAACATCTAGGGTTTGCAAATGAGCAGAAAATGGGCACTTTCATGTATTATGGATTGGTAGAAATTTCCTGGAAAGCAATTTAGTAATATCTGCTAAAATAATCAGAGTCACCTGACCTATTAATTCCTCTTCTAATAAATATAAGTTATACTATTAAAAAAATAATGATTCATTCAAAGTCATGGTTCAATGATATTGTATCTGGAACATGGTATACATACTCTTACATTTTATTCTTTTAAAAAATTTAACATTATGTAGGAGTCCAATGTCATGAAATAGTCTTTAAAAAAAGCATTTTAACAGCTACTTAATGCTGTTTCATACATAATTTATTGTTAGAAATTTATGCTGTTTTCCATTGATGTCATTAGCATACTCAGTCTCAAAGAACATTTTATGCCTCGGATTGACTATTTCATGTCAATTCTAAAAAGCATCATATAAAATTGTGAGGATGTTACGAACCATCATTTTGTTAAAACAAACAAAACAATGACAGAATTATGACTGTATTTTTTATCCTTAATGGAGAAAAGCATATTATTTTTACAATTAGAATAATAATATATGGCCCTTTAAAAAGTGGTTACTTGGATTTTTGGCTATACAAATATTTTGATGATGTCTTGAAAGATAATCATTCATGTCTTCTGTCTTTTCAGGAGAAAATATTTGGAAGTAATATATTTTTTTTGCTGTTTGTATTGTCTAGGTTTTCTGACAAAGGGCAAAAAAGGCAAAATGCTCTCCTTTGTTTGAACTCTTGGTTAGAATGTTTTGCAGAAATTTTTACACAGGAATTTTTTTCACAGTGTTGCAAGTTCATATATAATGTTATAATTTAACCATGACATAGTAATTCTTTTTTTAAAAATTTCTTTGGTGGCCTCACACTTGCTAAGAAGGTTCTACCACTTGAACTATGCCCCCAGCTCTCTTCTTAATTTTTTTCTTTTTTGGAATCATTAGTAGTACAAGTGAGTTGCACTGTGAAACTTTCAGAGATGCATACAATATACTTTGAACAAGTTCATCCCCTCCATTACATTCCCTTAGCCCCCTCTCCCTGCCTGCCTTTTCAGTGTTTAGTGGGTTTCATACATGACTGTATACATATATACATGACTGTCTTCATATATATACATATATATATATACACATATAATATACTTCGAACTTCTTGAACTCTCCATACCCTCTCTTACCCCTCTTCCCCTCCCACTGGTTCTACCCCTTGGTTGTTGCTCCTTTACATTCATGTTCCATTTTCATTATTATTATTCTCATTTTAGAATAATAGAGAAGTTTAGATTCCACATATGAGCCAAAACATGCAATATTTATCACTTTGAGCTTGGCTTATTTTGCTCTAAATGATGATCTCCTGCTCCATCCATTTGCCTGCAAATAAAATTCCATTCTTCTTTATAGCTGAATAATACTCCATTGTTACATATACCACATTTTCTTTGTCCATTCACCGATTGTTGGGTACCTAGGCTGATTCCACACCTTGGCTATGGTATATAGTGCTGCAGTGAACATGGGTGTGCAGTTACCTCTCTTGTATATAGATTTACACTCCTTCAGGTATATACCCCCAAGAGTGGCATAGCAGAATCACAAGGTAATTTTTTAGCTTTTTGATGGACTTCTATACTACTTTCTAGAGAGATTTGAAGTCTATGTTTCATTTTATCAATCTGTTTCTCTTGGAAAAACTAATACCAAGTAATTTTTTCAGATGCTAATTTGTGGGGATTAAGTAGATGCCACTGCTTCTTCTTGGCAACTTTCTGAATTAGGGACTTTAAAAATTATTTTGAAAAGCTAGCTCTCTACATTTTAACTAGCTGCAAAGATTTATTTAGTTTTTACAGTCTTTTTCATGCTTGAGCCCACAGAATAGGTTGAAACGCTGGTATTGGGAGTACCTATTGACTATTTTTGAAATTAGTTATTAGAACAGCTAGTCACTGGTTGTGGTTACTGGGTGTTCTGTTCTATTACTTTTAATTTTCAGGTCACCCGAGAATGTCTGTTTCATCGAGAGAAGAGAATGGGAATTGATCTAGTTCATGATGAAGCTGAAAAAGAATTACTGACGGTAAATATGGAGGAAACACTCCAATAAGGAGAGAAGTTTAATTGTAAACATATGTTTAAAATGTTGAAATCAAAATGATGTTACATAAAGCCATATCAAAGGTTTATATCACTTAGCAGTAATACATTTTTCTTGGCTTTAAAATAATGTATTCATCAAGAATTTGAAAAATGTAGAAAAGAATAGAGGAAGGTAAAGACTGCTTGTGATTCCATTAGACAGAAGTCAGGGTCAACTTTTGGAGCATTTCAGCCATTTTACTAAATTCACAGAGACCACCCAGCTCACATGATGCACAGACATATCTTCAAGATTAGAACCATACAGTATGATTTTAATTTTTCCTTATCATTAGGTACTCTTTTTTTCTTATCATTAGATATTCTTTTAAGATGATTTTTAATAGTTACATAGCATTCTGCAATGTGAATGTGCTATAATTTTTTAAAAACCTTCTTTTGTTGAATAGCTTGGTTGATTGCCTATCCCAGTGTTTTTCTTCTGTTTTTGTAACCCTGTAGCATACAAAAATACTACCATTGATAGCTGTATGTACTTCTGATTAGAAATGTAACTGAGGTACCAGAGAGCATATGCATTTGGAGGGCTTTTGATACACTGCCAACTTGCCACTCAGAGATATATCTGCCCCACTCCACTGATTATCTCACAGTCTCACTCCTTAAATTTGATTGAGTTCTTAGTTCTCTAACTGTCACATTCTGGAGCGGCTACCATAAGATCTCTGCCTTTCCTTAACATTTCAGCCATCGTGTGCTTCTGGCCCTTCCCGATCTCTTTCTTTGGCCTAGGCATTTTATTAAGCATTAGTTCTTCATTCCTAAATGTCTTGCCAAACATTGAAAACAATTTGATTAATATGTATGTATTATACATATTAATGGGGTTTTGGTGAGAGATTTCTACAGATGCATACATATAGCATATAGTGGTCAACCCTGACCTCCCTCCCTCCCAACTTCTCATGCCCTCTCCAATCTGCCTTACCCTGTTGTCCACCCCTGTATACTGATGGAATGGTGTTTCCTCGTCACCATAGCTTGACTTGTAGCCATTGTCTCCTTGACCCCTTCAATCAGTTTCCAGCATTTTTTTCTAGCTGGTTTTTGTGAAATTCCCAGATACTTTCTCTCCCCCAAGTTTCACTTAAATCTATAACATACACTGACACTATTTTCTCCTTCTCCTGTAAACTGTCCCCTGACTCTGATTACCTACAGGAAAATGCCACTGAGACCCCCCATTATCTGGCTCCCATCTAACTTCTCAGCATCAATTTTCTCTATGAATCACAGAATTTCTGTGGTGATGGACCCATCTTCTCTTCCCCTGAACCAGCTTTGCAGGGTCCCATCTCTTTGCCTTTGCTTGATTGACCTTGATAAGGAATAAGTCCTTGGTAGAGAGAAAGTATGGGAAGCTAGAAACCTGGTTATCAGAGTAACTTCACCCTTACATGTCATCAATACTTCCCAAAGTTTTTTTAGTGAACAATACATTAAGAAAGATAAGCAGGAGTCTTTCCTTTCCTTTCCTTTCCTGTCTGGTTCTTGGAGAGAAATCTGAATTGAAATAACACACTCAGGAGATCATTGACCACTGAAGCGAGGCTGTGTAATTACCCTGTCAAGGTTACCACCCTTCTATTGCACAGCAGTGATTATGAGTGAGACATCCTGAAAGAAATAACTTTGACATGATGGGTTTCCTCTCTGTTGTTTCTCTGTTCCTAGTCTCTGATGAATATCATAGTTCTTAATCTGTCATCTACTTTGCTGTCCTAAATGGGAGGGTCTTACCAGCATCTGTCCTTTGGCCTCTTTGTTCTCACTAATCCTGAGATGTTCCATAGGAAATAAAATTATAATCCAGTTCTAGCAGCTTAACTTCATCAGTTTGCCCACAAATGCACTCTGCTGTTTCCAAGAGATTTTTTGACACTTGGCTCCCTTTTGTGATTTTGTTGTTCTAGAGTGGCCCTCAAACTGGCTGCACATTAGACTCACCAGGTGAAGGTTTTAAAAATATCACTTTCTGGGTTCCATCTACAAAGATTCTGATTCAAATCTGAAGTGAGGAATGATAATTAAAAAATATTCTACAGGTAATCTTAATGAGTAGGCAGAATTAAGAACTGGTACAACAAAACATAAGATTTGAAAGAAATTAAATATGGCTGAACAGATTGGAAGATTTAATTTTGTGACGACGATAATACTTTTCAAGCTGATAGGTTCAACACAATTTCTATAGAAATTCCAGCTGACTTCCTAATGGAAATTGATAAATGGACCCTAAAATTCATATGGAAATCTAAAGGAAGCAGAATAGACAAAATAATACTGAGAAAAGCAGGAGGTTGGAGGACTCACACGTCCCAATCTCAAAACTTGCTGTAAAGCTGCAATACACAAGACAGTGTAGTACTTGCATCAAGATGGACAGATAATCAATGGACTAGGATATGAGTGTGAGAAATAAATCCTCACAGTTACCATCAATTGATCTTTGACAAGGGTGCCAAGATAATTCAATGAGAAAAGAATGTCCAACATTTCACACATGCTTACACATGTGAATATCCATGTGTGACAGAATGAAGTTAGATCCCTACATCATAGCAAATGAAAAGTTAAGTAAAAAATAGATCAAAGACTTAAATGTAAGGGCTAAAATGGTAACATTCTTAGAAAAAAACCCATACAAATAGTATTTGTGACCTTGGAGTTGGTGACAATTTTCAAAGGTGCAAAAACTAAAAAAAAAACTGGACATACTAAAGTATGTCCAGTATACATAAAGTACACATAAAAACTAGACAAACTACAGATAAACTGGACATCATCAAAATTGAAAATTTGGCACTTTAAAGAATATTATCAACAAAATGAAAAGAAAATCTTTGTAACTCATATATCTCAATAGGGACTTGTATCTATAACATATTAGTGGCTATTATAATTTTTAGAAAAAGACAACCAAATTTTGAAAAATGAGCAATGGACCTGAATAGACAGTTCTCCAAGGAGAACATACAAAAGACCAATAAGCATATGGGAAAATACTCAATATCATTAATCATTAGGAAAATGCACATCAATATCACAGTGGGATATGACTTCATACCCACTAGGATGGGTATCACAAAAAATACAGAAAAATAACTGTGAGAATGTGTAGGAATTAGAGTCCTCACTCACTGCTGGCAGAAATGGAAAATGATACAAGTGCTTTGGAAAACGGATAAGCACAGAGTTACTATAGGATCCAGTAATTCTACTTTCAGGTGTCTACCCAAGGAGAAAAGAAAACATATGCTAAAGCAAAAATTTGATTATAGCAACACTATTCAGAACAGTCAAAAGTGGAAACAACCTAAATGTTTATCCTGATGAGTGAATAAATGAAATGCAGCAAACAATAGAATGCTGTTCCACCATAAGAAGGTATGAAGTGCTGATACAGGTTACTCTGGAAATCATCACACCAAGTGAAAGAAGCTGGTCACATGGACCACATGTAGGATTCCATTTTTAATGAATTGTCTGCAATAGTGGCTTCTATGGAAACTGGAAGTAGAACAGGGGTTGGTGAAGGGAAAGAGGCTGGGGGTGGGGTTGGAAATTGAGGGTGACAGCTAGGAAGAACTGCTTTTTGGGGAGAGGTAATGAAAATGTTCTGTATTTGGTTCTAATGATGGGTGTACTAAGAACCATTGGACCTTATACTTTAAATGGATGAACTACATCTCCGTAGCTCCTTTTGCCCCCTTTTCTTCCTTAAGTTACTTTGGGAAGAATAGCTATTAATCCGAAGGAATACATTTAAATTCAACCTTGACATTATTAGAATTTTGGTCTGTTTTCTTTTTACTGTTTTAATTCTGGACAAAGAGAGTAAACCCCTGAAATTTTAGCCATGTCCCAACTTATTCCACAATATAGTTTCCCTGTAGCTCTACAAACAATGAGTCTTAGCTTAATATTTAGGTTGTAATATGGGGCATACAGGTAAATAAGCAGTTGTAAAACTGTTTTCATTCATTGATGAATTGCTAAATTGCTGAGTTTGGTGTTATAGTCAATAATGAAAGTATTAAATGTGGTTTTCTTACTTTTCAATTGAGTAGGAAGTTGACATTATTCTGACTTGTCAAGAAAGAATGAAGCTACATTTGGATAAAGCTATCACCCAACTTACGTAAGAGCTTTACCTCTCTATGTAATTTAAAATCTATCATTGAACTATACTTTCATGTCTCCATTCAAATTTCTTTTAGCTTCTTATAAGGGCACATATGCACATTTTTATTCAAAAGTTAAGATGAGTGCTTGGAAGACTTGCCTTATATTTTTATTTAAAGAAATAATCCTGAGACACTGCTGAAAGGACTTCACCTCTCACTTGGAATATGGCTAAGATGTCTCTTAACTCAAAAGACTTTAATTGTTTGATAAGAAATTGACTTGTCTGTCTTCAGTCCTAACAGCTGGAAAAGTAGTGAGCCATCACTCCCTTATGTGTCTTTCCCCCACCCCCTTAAAGAGCTACCTGCCCTACGTTGTTCACTGCATCCTGCTGCAGTGGAAGTGCTCATTTACCCAGCTCCCAGCCAGAACACAAATTCCTCATGGGCACTTCTTTTCTTTCCTTGGCAATAGTGGGTACTTAACATTTATGGCAAGGGTGGGAGGAAACTGAGAAGGGGGAAGAATGATAGCCAAATGAAGGCATTAAGTGATGATGATATCAAGGGTCAGTCTAGAAGTATTGGCTGAGCCTGTTACCTAACATGGCTGGAAAGATCAATATTGGTACAACCATAGAAAGAAGTAGTATTGAATATGCTACCCAAGAAGAAGGATGGCTATACTTCCACTAGCATTATCAAAGGTGATGTGTGATATACCTAAAGGAATAATGGGTGTCATGAAAGGGTCAGTAACTGACAGCTTAGTTTGTCCACCTGCAACAATTATTTGCTGAATGAACTATTCCATGTGCAAAGCTGTGGCTCATCTGTCACCATGCCCACCCTCATCCTGGGCCTGCCTCTTTGGGAGTGAGTTGTGGGTTCCTCCTCTGCCTGGAATGCAGGGAAGATCATGCATCTGGGGCTCACCAGGGTTTCTTCCTTCCCAGCATTGGGGTTGCTGGAGCACAAGGCAGTTTCTGCCCCCCTTCCAGCACTCTGTAACTCCCGGGAGGTTTGTTTTTACCCTTGGCTTATATCTGCTGGCAAACATCTTTGCTATTGCATGACTTCAAACTGAGTATTGTAGCTAAATAACAGAGGAGACAAGGATAGGGATAAAGGAGAGGAAAGGGAAAGAGGAAAGGAAGGCAGAGACCTGAACAGATTACAGTAAACCAGTGTCCTGTCTGGAACCACTGGAGTGTGTGAGGAAGATATGCAGCTCCTGTTTAGCTACACCTCCTCCCCACTTCCACACCACCCTCTAGAAGGGGGCAGGAGTAGGGTTCTTGTGACTCACATGCATGACCATCTCCAAAGCATGGTGCTTTTGGTCGTGTGAAGGAGGAGAGATGGGGAGAGAAGAAAAGAGGGTCCTGACTTAGAACGGCAGTCCCCTTCCTTGTAGGACATTGTTGCTGAACATAAAGCCTCTTTCCTCTATCTGTTATAGTGCTGACAGAGCTGTACAGCACGAGTTGGAGAAGGACCTGAGTGACAAACAAGCAGCACACCGGATAGACGACAAGTGCCACCACTTGCGTAACACTTCTGAGGGTATCGGCTTCTTCCGCGGAGTGGAGAATGTGGATGCCACGTAAGCCAGGCAGAGGCCATTTCTGTGCTCTTGGTGTCATTCGTTGATTACCTCTTCTTTAAAATGAGGCAGCTTACAGGTTGTTGTAGTCCATTTTCTGTTGTTATAACAGAATACCTGAGACTGGGTGATTTGTAAAGAATAGAGGTTTCTTTGGCTCACAGATTTGGGGGCTGGAAAGTTCAAAGCATCAACTTCTAAAGAGGGATTTTGTATTGAAACATGAAAGGACAATTGTTCATGAGTGAAAGAAAAAAACTGAGGAGGAGACTTGCTTTTATAAAAAGTGCTCTGGGGACAGCAAACCCACTCCCATGAGAATTAACCTACACTCTCAAAAATGACGTTAATGCAGCTCAGGAAGCAGCTCAGTGGCAGAGCACTTGCCTGGCATGCACAAGGCCCTGGGTTCATCCCACCAGCTCAAGAAAAAAATCAGGTGTTAATGCTTCTTAATGACCTAATCACTTTTTAAAGTGATTAAGTCCCACCTCCCAACACTGCCACAATGGCAATCAAATGTCAATATGAGTTTATGAAGGGACAAACCACATTCAAATGGTAGCACAGGTTAAAACATCTGACCAGAGATTCCAAGATGGCAACTAGAGGGAGGAAGCAGAAAGCGTGTCTCCTAAAGTAAAATCTTGGAGAGACGCTGGAGATACACCTTACAGGAAAAACCGAGAAGAGGCAAAACTTTGACTCCTCCACACATCCAGCCTGCGCATAGCATCTCCACTTCACGTTAAACAGAGAAACCAGGAGGGCCCCCGTGCTGCCAGATGCCAGCATCGAGACCGCTTGGGAAGAAGCAGACCACAAGGTGAGCTAAGCAGCATGTGGTTCTCCCACAGACAACCCTGGGCCAGATCAGCATAGCCCCCTGGACAGACCGACCCCCATCCAGGGAAAAAAGAAAAATAAACTGAATAATAAGCAATAACAAAAAAGACACATAGCAAAGAGGGCGGGGCACCCTGAGTGCCGAATGGGGGGGAGGGGAAATCCCTCACGGAATTGTAAATAAACAAGCTGGGCCAGAGAAGGCAGGAGCGATGGCACACGCCCAGCAACCAGGAACAGGAAAGCTTGTAAAAGTGGCAGAGGTAGGAAAACTCCACAGGAGAGGGGGGAAGACCCACTTCCCACGGGAACTGTAAATAAACACACAGGCCAGAGAAAGCGGGTGCAGTGTCACCTCCCCAAGTGTGCTTGGAAACGGGAAAGCTTGTAGGAGAGCCTTGCACACAGGAGAACTCTGAGTAAATAATAAAGCCTGCAGGGCCAGGTGAGTGCTAAGCTAACCCAAGAGATCTGCATAAATAACACCTCCAGCAACAGCAGGCTGACAGCAGCAGGCACGTGAGCTGCAGCCGCAGATAGCCATTCACAGAACTGTCTCCAGACTCTTTTTTTTCTCTCTCCCTACCTTTGATGAGAGAACAACCGAACTACACCTGCATGCTGAAAAACTTACGGAAACTGTATTGCATTTGAACTTGGGACACTTTGTGGTGTTTTGTTTTGTTTTTTGGTTTTATTCCCCTTTGATAAGACAACGACAGAACTACTTCTAAGACACCATCTCCAGGATTGGAGGCTGAGGGACTAACACCAAAATTATTAAGACTGAAACTTTATTGCATTTGAACTTGGAGATTTATTTATTTATTTATTTATTTTTATTTATTATTTTTTTATCATTTATCTCTCTGTCTCTAATGCTGTTCAGCTTACTGTTGATTAGTACACTATCTCTCCCTGTTTATATCTTTGAAACTTTTTTTTTTGTTTGTTTTGTTTTTTGTTTGTTTATTTGTTTTTCCCTCTTTCTTTAACTTCTTTGCTTTCCCTCTCCTCTCACCCTTCCATTCTAAATATCACCATTGTTATTATTACAAGCTAGAAAATACTTAATTGCACACAGTACAGGGACAATAACAACACCAAGGGCAATGATGGGAAGACAGAAAAAACAGGGAAACCAGTTTCCCCACAGCAAAAAATTAGTACAGGAACCAGAGGGAAATGAAGAAAAAGATACTCAGATCCAGACTCCAACAAAATGAAGATAAACTATGCCAAAGAACCCAATGAAGCCCACAAGAATGATCTAAAAGAAGAAATACTACAGGTAAAAAATGAGAATTTTATAGAGATGATACTGGATATGGTCAACCAAAATGTACAGGAGACACTCAAGAAATTCCAAGACAACAAAAATAGAGAATTTGAAAAAGCACAAGAAGAAATAAAGAAACCATAGAAGCACTGTATAAACACCAAAGTGAAACAAAGAACACAATTAATAAAGAGATAAATGAACTCAGGACAAAATAGACAACATTAAAGAGGAAAGACTCAGGATATGGAAAACTCAGAAAAAAGAAGAAACAGAATGCAAAACAAAATGGAAGGCCAATCCAGCAGAATAGAACAAACAGAAGACAGAATCTCAGAACTTGAAGATGAAATGGTAATTAAAGGAAAAACCAAAGAACTATTAATTAAACATCTCAAGACCCATGAAAAGAAAGTGCAAGAACTCACTGACTCCATCAAAAGACCAAACCTGAGAATCATGGGCATGAAGAAGGAGAAGAGGTGCAAGCAAAGGGAATGCGTAATTATATTCAACAAAAAATAACAAAATTTCCCAAATCTAGAGAAACTATTCCCATACAGATGCAAGAGGCCTCCAGAACACCAAACAGACCAGACCAAAATAGAACTACCCCACGCATATTATCATTAAAACAACAAGTACAGAAGACTAGAAAGAATATTGAAGGCTGTAAGAGAGAAAAAACAAATAACATACAAAGGTAAACCCATCAAAATCACAGCAGACTTCTCAACAGAAACATTAAAAGCAAGAAGAGCTTGGGGTGAGATCTTCTGGGCACTGAATGAAAATAACTTCAACCCCAGGATACTCTACCCAGCAAAACTATCATTCAAAATAGATGGAGCAATAAAAGTCTTCCACGATAAGCAGCAACTAAAACAATATGTGAACACAAAGCCACCACTACAAAAGATTCTTCAAGGGATTCTGCACACAGAAAGTGAAACCCAACATAACCATGAAAGGGCAGGCAGCACCAAACTACAGGAAAAGAAAAAGCAAGAAAGTAGAGAGTAACCTCAACTTAGGTACACACAATCAAACCTTCAAACAACTAAGACAACTAAATGACAGGAATCACCACATACCTATCAGTACTAACACTTAATGTTAATGGACTTAATTCCCCATCAAAAGGCACCGTTTGACGAAATGGATTAAAAAGGAAGATCCAACAATTTGTTGCTTACAGGAGACCCATCTCACCGACAGAAATAAGCATAGACTTAGGATGAAAGGCTGGAAAAAAGATTTACCAAGCCAATGGCCCCCGAAAACAGGCAGGAGTAGCAATACTTATCTCTGACAAAGTAGACTTCAAACCTACATTGATCAAATGAGATAAAGAAGGACATTCCATACTAATAAAAGGGGAAATAGACCAAAAGGAAATAACAATTATCAACCTATATGCACCCAATGTCAACGCACTCAATTTCATCAAACATACCCTGAAGGACCTAAAAGCATATATTAACTCCAACACAGTGGTCGTGGGAGACTTTAACACCCCATTATCATCAATAGATAGGTCATCCAAACAAAAAATCAATAAAGAAATCCTAGATCTAAAATGTACAATAGATCAAATGGACCTAGTTGATGTCTACAGAACATTTCATCCAACTTCTACACAATATACATTATTCTCAGCAGCCCATGGAACCTTCTCCAAAATAGATCATATCCTAGGGCACAAAGCAAGCCTCAGCAAATATAAGAAAATAGAAATTATACCATGCATTCTATCTGATCACAATGCAATAAAACTAGAACTCAACAACAAAAGTAAAGACAAAAAACATGCAAACAGCTGGAAACTGAGTAACTCATTGCTTAATGAACAATGGGTCATTGATGAAATAAAAGAGGAAATTAAAAAGTTCCTGGAAGTCAATGAAAATGAAAACACAACCTACCGGAACCTATGGGACACAGCAAAGGCAGTCCTGAGAGGAAAGTTTATAGCCATGAGTGCATATATTAAAAAGACTGAAAGATCCCAAATCAATGACCTAATGATACATCTCAAACTCCTAGAAAAACAAGAACAAGCAAATCCCAAAACAAATAGAAGGAGAGAAATAATAAAAATAAGAGCTGAAATCAATGAAATAGAAACCAAAAAAACCATACAAAGAATTAATGAAACAAAAAGTTGGTTCTTTGAAAAAATAAACAAGATCGACAGACCCCTGGCAAACCTGACTAAAATCAGGAATGCAAAAGGGGAGATAACAACAAACACCATGGAAGTCCAGGAAATCATCAGAGACTACTTTGAGAACCTATATTCAAATAAATTTGAAAATCTTAAAGAAATGGACAGATTTCTAGATACATATCATCATCCAAAACTGAACCAAGAGGATATTAATCACCTGAATAGATCTATAACACAAAATGAAATTGAAGCAGTAATCAAGAGTCTCCCCAAAAAGAAAAGTCCAGGACCTGATGGATTCTCTGCTGAATTCTATCAGACCTTTAAAGAAGAACTGATACCAACCCTCCTTAAACTGTTCCATGAAATAGAAAGGGAAGGAAAACTGCCTAACACATTTTATGAAGCCAGTATTACACTTATCCCAAAACCAGGCAAAGACACCTCCAAAAAGGAGAACTATAGGCCAATCTCCTTAATGAACATTGATGCAAAAATCCTCAATAAAATAATGGCAAACCGAATTCAACAACACATCAAAAATAACATTCATCATGACCAAGTAGGCTTCATCCCACTTGGAATTCAGGGGTGGTTCAACATACGAAAATCAATAAATGTAATAAACCACATTAACAGAAGCAAAGACAAAAACCACTTGATCATCTCAATAGATGCAGAAAAAGCCTTTGATAAGATTCAACACTATTTCATGATAAAAGCTCTAAGAAAACGAGGAATAGAAGGAAAGTACCTCAACATTATAAAAGCTATATATGACAAACCTACAGCCAGCATTATACTTAATGGAGAAAAACTGAAACCATTCCCTCTAAAATCAGGAACCAGACAAGGATGCCCACTATCTCCACTCCTATTCAACATAGTACTGGAATTCCTAGCCAGAGCAATTAGGCAAGAAGAAGGAATAAAAGGAATACAAATAGGTAAAGAAACTGTCAAAATATCCCTATTTGCAGATGACATGATCCTATACCTTAAAGACCCAAAAAACTCTACTCAGAAGCTCCTAGACACCATCAATAGCTATAGCAAGGTAGCAGGATATAAAATCAACATAGAAAAATCATTAGCATTTCTATACACTAATAATGAACAAACTGAAAAGAATATATGAAAACAATTCCATTTACAATAGCCTCAAAAAAATCAAATACCTAGGTGTAAACCTAACAAAGATGTGAACGACCTCTACAAGGAAAACTATAAACTTCTGAAGAAAGAGATTGAGGAAGACTATAGAAAGTGGAGAGATCTCCCATGCTCATGGATTGGTAGAATCAACATAGTAAAAATGTCTATACTCCCAAAAGTAATCTACATGTTTAATGCAATTCCCATCAAAATTCCAATGACATTCATTAAAGAGATTGAAAAATCTACCGTTAAATTTATATGGAAACACAAGAGGCCACGAATAGCCAAGGCAATACTCAGTCAAAAGAACAATGCTGGAGGTATCACGATACCTGACTTCAAACTATATTACAAAGCAATAACAATAAAAACAGCATGGTACTGGCACAGAAACAGACATGAAGACCAGTGGAACAGAATAGAGGACCCAGATATGAAGCCACACAACTATAACCAACTTGTCTTTGACAAAGGAGCTAAAAATATATGATGGAGAAATAGCAGTTTTGTCTTCAACAAAAACTGCTGGGAAAACTGGTTAGCAGTCTGCAAAAAACTGAAACTAGATCCATGTATATCACCCTATACCAAGATTAACTCAAAATGGATCAAGGATCTTAATATCAGACCCCAACCTCTAAAATTGATACAGGAAAGAGTAGTAAATACTCTGGAGTTAGTAGGTATAGGTAAGAACTTTCTCAATGGAACCCCAGCGGCACAGCAACTAAGAGATAGCATAGATAAATGGGACCTCATAAAACTAAAAAGCTTCTGCTCAACAAAAGAAATTGTCTCTAAACTGAAGAGAACACCCACAGAGTGGGAGAAAATATTTGCCAGCTACACATCAGACAAAGGACTGATAACCAGAATATGTAGGAAACTTAAAAAACTAAATTCTCCCAAAACTAATGAACCAATAAAGAAATGGGCAAGTGAACTAAACAGAACTTTCTCAAAAGAAGAAATTCAAATGGCCAAAAAACACATGAAAAAATGCTCACCATCACTAGCAATAAAGGAAACGCAAATTAAAACCACACAAAGATTCCACCTCACCCCTGTTAGAATAGCCATCATTAGCAATGCCACCAACAACAGGTGTTGGTGAGGATGCAGGGAAAAAGGAACGCTCTTACACTGCTGGTGAGAATGTAAACTAGTACAACCACTCTGGAAAAAAATTTGGAGGCTACTTAAAAATCTAAATATTGATCTACCATATGATCCAGGAATACCACTCTTGGGGATATACCCAAAAGACTGTGACATAGGTTACTCCAGAGGCACCTGCACACCCATGTTTATTGCAGCACTATTCACAATAGCCAAGTTATGGAAACAGCTAAGATGCCCCACCACTGATGAATGGATTAAGAAAATGTGGTATCTGTACACAATGGAATTTTATGCAGCCATGAAGAAGAATGAAATGTTATCATTTGCTGGTAAATGGATGGAATTGGAGAACATCATTCTGAGTGAGGTTAGCCTGGCCCAAAAGATCAAAAATCATATGTTCTCCCTCATATGCAGACATTAGATCAAGAGCAAACACAATAAGGGGATTGGACTTTGATCACAAGATGAGGCGAGAGCACACAAGGGAGGTGTGAGGATAGGTAAGACACTTAAGAAACTAGATGGCATTTGTTGCCCTCAATGCAGAGAAACTAAAGCAGATACTTTGGAGGAACCGAAGCCAATAGGAGAGGGGGACCAGGAACTAGAGAAAAGGTGAGATCAAAAAGAATTAACCTAGAAGTTAACACACATACAGAGGAAATCAATGTGAGTCAACTCCCTGTATAGCTATCCTTATCTCAACCAGCAAAAACCCTTGTTCCTTCCTATTGTTGCTTATACTTTCTCTTCAACAAATTAGAGATAAAGGCAAAATCGTTTCTGCTGGGTAGCGAGGGGGTGATGGGGAGAGGGAGGAGGTGGGGGTGTAACGGAGGGGGTGAGGAAAGGGGGGAGAAATGACCCAAACATTGTATGCACATATGAATAAAATAAAACAAACAAACAAACAAACAACAACAACAAAAAACCATCTGACCAGGTGTAAAGCTGGTTTGATGTCTAAAGGTGAGGAAAACATCTGGCTTTGGACAAGCTTTCAGTAAGCACATCCGGCAGGCCTTTTTTGCGTCATCCTGTATTCTTTTGTCAAAGAATAGTTGTTGTTTGTTTTCTAACTATGAGAAATAACACCTACTTGATATAGAAAACCTAGAAAAATGCACATAGGCACAAGGGAAGTCACGTGTGACCAACTCTTGGATATCCCAGACTCTGTGAGACACAGGCCAAAAAACCTGAGTGTTTTTCTTGCTATTGCTCATTGATCTTGCCCTGTCAAGGGATTCTTTGCCTGGTCCCTGGATACAGTCTTGGGCAAGGTTTATGGTTTGGGCCAGCTATTTCCTTTAAAAAAGTCAAATTGAAACTGGATGTGAGTGGCTCACGCCTGTAATCCTAGTTGCCTAGGAGGCTGAGATCAGGAGGATCATGATTCTGGCCAGCCCAGGTTAAAAAAAATTTCGCAAGACCCCATCTCAACATGAAAAAAGCTGGGCATGGTAGTGCACACCTGCCATCTCAGTGACGGTGGGAAGCATAAAATAAGAGTATTTTGCCAGGCAAACCTGGGCTAATGGTGAGACCCTATCTCCAAAATACCAGAGCAAAAAGGGCTGGGGGCTTGGCTTCAGGCTTGGCACTGCCTAGCAAGCTTGAAGCCCGGAGTTTAAACCATCCTCCTCAAAATAATAATCAAATTAATGGAAATGCAATTTGCAAGTAAAATATACCCATAAATGTATATTTCAACATGCATTTGGGTTTTGACAAATTTGAATGCCAATGTAACCATGATACACTCCAGTGTTTTCATCATCTTGAAAAACTACCACATATTCCTTCCCACACTCAGGTCCCCCCATCACTTCTAAAGTGACTCCCAAGTGGATTCTTTCCTGTGAGCTCCTTGTCCCCAAAGCAGCCTCCTTTCCTGGCTCACTTGTGACAGCCACTGTTCCCTTTATGCCTTGGACTTTTAAATTCTTCAGGGGTGAATCAGAATCAGATCCTGTATTCTAAGTGGTCCACACAAAATGCTTGAGGTGGGCAGGGAGCGTCTTCCTTGTGTCTTGTAGGATGGGAAGGGATCTGGGATCAAACCACACACTTTGACCATTTAGTCCTTTGACAGAACTCAACTTCCAGCAAGAGTTCTCAGCCCTCACTTACAGATATCAAGGTACAGAGCAGTCACAGGGTTATTTTGGGTCATTGCAGCCTGAATTGTATAGCCTATCTGATTTTTCTGTTTGTGATACAGCAATAAAGTTGTTCATGAAATAAATATCCCTAAGTTAAAAAGTAATATTCATGAAATACATATTCATGAGTTTGCATGCTATATAGATTAATTTTTGCATATATGTAATTAACCTTTATTTTTGCACACTGAGGTTGTTTTTCATTTCTCAGACATTGGTATAAATATTGCTTAAGTGAATGTCCTCCTGTGTCTATCTTTTAGTATCTTATTTCCTTAGGATACATTTCTGCAAGTGGAATTTCTGAATTAAGCACATTTAAATGAAAGATGCTTGGTTTGTGTTTCCTTTCTGCTCTCCAGCACAGTGACACCAATTCAGTCTTCCCACTTACAAGATAGGAGAGAATTCCATAAACCTGCTAACCAGCTCTGCAATTGACTGTTTTTCTTTACTCTTTGCTACTCTGTCAAATGGTTCAGAGTATGGTGGTGTTTTCATTGGCCCATCCCTGATTACTCCTAAGGGTAGTGTAATACATTTGTGATGAGCCTGCACCCGTACCCTCCAGTGATCCCCCTTTCCCCTCAAACTGGCAGGAGAATTCGTTTTCGCTTTGGATTTATAGAAAGTTGGTCAACACTCAAATAAGGAACAATGGAGAGAAACTGAAAATAAACTTTGCTCTGATGTTTACATTGTATGCAACAAGACCAGGATGGGTGATTGCAGGATGAATGGTTGCCTGTAGACCATCTAGGCTGATTTGTCACCACTCTTGGGTTCTTCTTCCTATTTTCAGGGTCTCAGTGCCTGAGTCATGGGCCAAATTTACAGATGACAATATTCTGTGCTCCCAGAGTGAACGGGCCGCCTCCTCTAAGCTCAGAGAGGACATTGAAAACCTCCTGGTTGTGACTGCCAATGAGATGTGGAATCAGTTCAGCAGAGTGAACTTGGCTTTCACCAATCGCATTGCTGAGACTGCAGATACTAAGAATAAGATTCAGATTCACTTGTCAAAGGTAAGTCAGCCATAGGTGGAATCCCTTCGCTGACATAGACAAGGCACACGGGGCTCTGGGGTCGCCAATCTCTCACCACTCCCAGAAAGGTGTCATAAGGCAGGCGACCTGGTCATACAGAGTGAGAAAAATCAGAAACAGTAGAAAGTACACTATTTATTTCACCCAGGCAGCCAGGTGTCAAAATGGAATTAGAGTTCACTGGTGTTTGGAACACAAAGAATGCACTATACAGGGAAAGTTATTAGTATTTAATAGAAACAAAACTATTATGATTAAAGTTTAGTGAATCACTGTCTATAGCTAGGAGGTGACTTTATTATTAGAACATGTGGTAGGAATGTTTTCTGTTCAATCATTTCAGACCCCTTGTCTGGAATACAGAACCAACTACAGGACACTATTAGGTAGTTCAAAGTGTCCCTGATATTTTAAGTGCTCTAAGGCAAGAGTTTTACAATGACAATAAATGAAGGATTCATGCATATTTTAAGATAAACAAGGAGTTCTGACTGTATATCAGTCTTGGAGCTCCTGACTATTTCTGTGGACTTCCTGCTTGTCATTTGTCAATTTATTTTTTAAGGACATTGCACCATTCATTATTTTTGTTGCTCTAAGGTGGTAGTAACCAAAGGAAGGTGCCATGTTTCCCCAGGTGGCAACAATTCAGCCTCTCTTTTTCATGGTGTCTTCTTTGTTCTAGTTAGCATATAATAGTTCTATGGGGGATACATTATGATATTTATATATGTGCTTATAATTTATCTTAGATTTATCCAGTTAATTGTTCTCCCTTCTACTCCCTCCTCTTCTTAGAACAATTTCAACAGGTTTCATTCTTCTATTTTCATATACAGATTTTATTTATTACTGTGTAAGTTTGTTAGTGCTGCTGTAACATAAAGTCCCACAGGCCAGGTGGCTTAAACACTAGAAATTAATTTTCTCACAGTTCTGGAGGTCCAGGCTCAAGGTATCATGGGTTGGTTTCTTCTGAGGCCTCTCTGCTTGGCTTCTGTGATAGGTTTTGCATCATGCCCCCATGTCTGTGTCCAAATTTCCTCTGCTTATAAACACACCAGTTGTATTGGATCAGGGCCCATTCTAATGACTTCATTTTAACTTAATACTTCTTCAGAGACTCTTTCTCCAAATATGGTCACATTCTGAGGTACTGAAGGTCAGGGCTTCAACACAGAAACTTTTAGAAGAAGGACACACAATTTAACCCATAACAACTACATTCAAGATACCATGCTAGGCTCTTTGGGGTATATGCACATGAATGTCACACTGAGCCTGCCATCTCATGCCTGAGAATGAGATAAGACATGCACACAGAAAATGGTCAGTCCATTGAGATGACACAGAAAGAGCCACTTGGAACTACAGGTAAAATGTTAAGATTGTTTAGAAGGAACATTTGTCTCCACTAATGAGAAACAGGAGTAGGTTCATGGAAGATAGAGCATCGAAAACTAAGGCCTGGGTGAGGGGAAGAACATGGTGAATTTTTGGTGGGTTGAACAAAGCGTGGGAAATAAGTGACAGATTTAGGAGTTCCTGGATTATGTAATTGATAAATGTGTGCGATTATGTGGGATCTCTATAGGGGAGAGAGGACTGTAGCAGAGAAGTCACCCCCAGGACAAAACCTTACACTGCAGGTGGATAAGGAATAGTTAGAAAGGGAAAGGGCTGGGAGTGCAGTGCAAGTGGTAGAAAACCTGTCTAGCAAACTCAAGGACCTAAGTTCAAACCTCAGTACCACCAAAAAGAAAAAGAAAGACCAGCAGTTGGCCAGAGAGAACAGGGTTTCAATGAGAGGGAGGTATCCAAAAAGCCTTCACATTGGCTTTGAGAGGGACTTTTAGGAGAGCAGTGAGGGCCAAAGACAGAATAGAAGGTCTACCGGGGTATTAGGTGGGCAGGAAGTAGAGAGAGTGGCCGTAGGTCATAGTTGGATGCACTTGGCAGTGAACATAGGGAGAAGGTTTGGAGATGACCAGGCTGAGACTGGATGGGAGAGTGGCCATAAGCACATGAAGCTTTAAACATCTGTTCCTGGGCTGTCTCCTGGCCTCAGGAAAGGAGCCAAGGAGGAGGGTCCACAATGGGAAGGATTTGGAACTATGGGGGAGTGCTGAGATCAAGGTCTAGGAGAAGGGCAAGTGCTCACAGTACAGGGGGACTGGGAAGACCCAGGAAGGATCTAGGTTTATGCAACTTGGGGGGCCCTCTTTAAGAAACAAAGAGTGTAAAGTCAGGAATACAAAACAGCTGGTGTTCCTCCCTTGCAAGCGAGGCACCCTGAAGTTTGAACCTGATTAGCTTCAAGGCAAATATGCGGGAGGAAAATGAGTCTCTTACGTTGGTAAGGGAGACAGAGGCAAGGGGTCTTTGCTAAGACAAAGGAAGTTAGGACCAGTCAGACCTCAGGGCCTCAGCTACACACGGATGTGTGTAATTAACAGCTGGCAGGCTGGAGGTGGGGTAAGTGAGAAGCTTAGATTTGTAGCAGTCCCCAATTACTGTGGTGTAAATATTCTCACCCTGGGTGATTTCAACATGAGGTTACTGGCATACAGTGAGTTGGCTCCAGCACAATACTCCAGATGCCCTGGGATCAGGGCTAGGAAGGAATGAAGTTCTCATGACTCAAAGTTCTGCCCCCAGAGGTCAAAGGGGGTGGCCAGTCCAAGGATGAAAGGGATGACATCAAGCTTCAGGCAGTTGTTTCGTCTCCTCACAGACCCTGCAGGAGATCTTCCAGACCGAAATGACCATTGAGTCCATTAAGAAGGCCATCAGGGAAAAGTCTGCCTTCCTGAAGGTGGCTCAGACCAGGCTAGATGAGCGAACGAGAAGACCCAACATAGAGCTGTGTCGGGATGTGGCCCAGCTACGGTAAAGCAGAGCGATGTCTGTGGGGGAGGGGAGAGCTGGGGGTCCTGCTAGGGCAACCCAGCAGCGTGACCGTGGCTCTGATGACACACGTCATGTAGGAGCTGCCTTTAGGGGGGTTGCTATTGATTGGGGAGAGTTTCAGTTTGGGATGGTGGTGATGGTTGCATGGCAGTGTGGATGTGCTTATTGTTAGTGCACTGCACACTTCACAATGGTGAAAGGAAAAGATTTATATTACATATATTTCACCATCAATTTAAAAAAAATGAAATGACGTCAACATTACACAGAAATGTGTTAGTAAATATTTCAGTCATTCAGAGAGTTGAAAGTGGTATCTGAGTTTCTGCACATTGGAGTCTTTGGAGTTTCATCAGCAACAGAGGTTTGTGGCTTTCTGTGTATTCCCCAAGGCAGGGGTAGGGTGAGGGGATTCATCAGAAAAGGAAATTTTTCTGTAACAATTCCCCTGACTCCACTTCACGTACTTGCTTTTGTGGCCTCTTCTGGACATTTGTATCTGTCCTCGCCATTAACACCACCCTCAGGACCTCTGAGACCCCTGTGGTCTTATTTAAGCTCTGTCCTCAGAAGAAATAAAAGCAACTGTTTTTTATCAAGCTTGGCTTCTTCCTTCCTTTTAGGATGGGCTCATATGGAGATGGCCAGGATTTTCCTTTCCTTCCCAGACACATTTCTGGCTCCCATTCCTAATATGTGCCTTTTCTTCTGGAGTCCATCCTGGCTGTTCTTAGATCATGAAATGGTCCTTGTGGAAGTGAATCAAATTGGTGCAACAGATAGGTGTACCAGATATCACTAGTATGGTTTTCTTCCTGTCCCATGGTAGACCTTAGCATCAGGAAGGATTTATCCTAAAGACAAAACTACTTTGGGCACCACCAAAGAAAACAGTAGTGGCCTGAGGTGGTGGATTTCCTAGAGGGGAAGAAAGGGATATCCTTGTGAGGCCAACTATTGAGAATGATGATGATAATAAGGACAATGATGGTGACAATAAAGGCACTGGTAATAATAATTGCTACTATTTCTTGTTCTTGCTCTATGTGGGGTACTCTTGTGTACCTCACAGTATCTCTTTTATTACCTTCATGTTGCAAATGAGAAAACTGAGGAAGGAGCAGGTGGAATGGCTTTGCCCAGGTCACACCTGGTGGTAAGAGACAGCCAGAGTTTGAATCCTTGCCTGTCTCAGTGCAAATGAAAATGTGTCAATGATTGGGATTCAGGAGGTTGTGGGAAGGCCAAGGGTCAACTCCATTCACCCAAACCATTCCCATCATATACATTGTATAATGTTTTTATCTTTCCCTTGCTCTGTACCTGATATCATTTGACCTTCTTAATGTCTATCTGAGATAAGGTGAAAAAAGTAGGTGCTCTCCTGCTCATACAGAGAGTGAAACTGAGGTCATGGGGATGACAACTGTAAACACACTCCATGTATGGCATGCATGTTGTCTGCATTGGTTGTCATGACACATGCATTAGAATACACAGCCCGCCATGACTGACTTTAGAGATTTTCTGACTGTAAGATGGCACGAAAGTGCCCATTCGCCATTCTGTTCTTCACTTTCATCACCGTGTTCAATAAATTATGCAAAATATTCAACCCTTTGGTATAAAATAGGATCTGTGTTTGATAATTTTGCCTAACTGTCAGCTAATGTAAGTGTGCTGAGCACATTAAAGGCAGGTTAGGCTAAGCTGTGACAATCAGTAGGTGTACTAAATGTATTTTTGACTTACAATATTTTCAACCTGCCATGGGTTTATCATAACATAAGCCCATCCATCATAAGTCGAGGAGCATCTGTATACAAATGGCCTTTTTTCTTAGACGAGTTTCTGTTCTAGTGGAGCTGTTTTCTAGACCACAGCCTCACAGGTGTTCACTCAGACTGCATTTTTCTCAAAGTAGGTTCTATGGAATCCCTCTCCCTATACAACCCATTATTTGGTACAGGTTGCCCTCCACTCCAGAGACGAGACAGGCCCCTTGCACAGCTGGTGTGAATTGTCTCTCATCTTCAGAAGAGCCTGCCAGTGGGAGCACACCCACTTGGCTGAATTGTGAGTTTATGCAAACAGTACCAAGAGAAGCTGAGCTGAAGTTTCACATTCCAAAAATTTTCTGCAGAGTCATCAAAAGTGGAGATGGAAATAAATTGTTTAGACTACTGTTAGACAAGCACAGCATTTTTGTTTTGCTTTTGTGAAGCTAGTGATCGGACCCAGGACCTTACGTGTGCTAGACAAGAGCTCTATCCCTGAGTAGTGGTCTTATAGGGCTTTGGGGGGATGATTTTTACTCCTTTTCCCTCTTTCCCAGCTAAAACAGAATTTGCCTTTTGTTTTGTTTCCTGTTGACTTCCTAGTATGTCTGTTTCCTCTGCTGTTTTACTGACTTTGGGTAAAACTTACTTTTGTTTTTGTTAAGATTTCTTGTTAGACTATTCTTGCCAAAAATGTTTAAGATTATTACTGGGGGAGAGGATTGTATTCTTTTTTAAATCCATCATTCCGAAAGCAACACTTTGGCTGTCTAGATTGGAATAAGCAAAGATCATAAAATCAGGAGTAGTGGGGACAAAGAAGAATTGCTGTTTTCATTTCAAGATTTTTATTTTCATTTAAAATGTTCTAGATGGACTCTTTCAAAAGCAATTCTAAACCTTCTTGGCATCTTTGGTGGGAAGCCAAGCCAGCCTCTACTTCACTTAAATCATCTTGATGCTTTAAAAAAAAACCTTTTATTTGTATTTGAATAATTAAATAAAATTTTGTAATTAAAAAACCCTGAGTAGCTCTAGCAGATTAGTTCTCTGCAGTCAGTTAAGAGCTAGGAAATTGGAACATCAAGTGGCCTCGAAGAGGAGGAAAGTGTGTACCTAATAGCCAAAGTCCAGGGGCATGTGGGGTCCCCTAGCTGGGCTCAAACAGCAGCACAAAAACAAGGACTCTCACTGCCTGCATTCTATGGATATTATATTCTTTTTTTAAACACCGATATTTTAATGTACGTGTTTTCAGACAATCCCTCTAGACTAGTATTTGGCTGCCAGGAGTAAAGATACATATATTACCTTGCTCCATTTGGGTCAAGGGCTCCTTTTGAAGACAGGGAGGGGTAGGAGATGAGGCAGGCCAGGCCTGTGGGATGATAAACAGACCACCATCATAAATCTCATTCCCAGTTGTCTGTCACAGCCTCCTGCAGATCTGTTTCTTTGCTAGTGACACTTCATACCCAGGGTTCTTTTTTTAAAGTCTTTCTTTTTTGATCCAACTTGCTCCAAACAACAACAAAAAGTATGCTATTCGATGAGATCTCAGATTTTGTGTTTACCTTCCCCAGATCCATTGAAACTTGGGGACTTGAGTTGTGATTCCCTGCCTTCCCCATTGGAAGGAAAAAACAGTAGGTTTTCTGATGGGAGCCGATGCAAGTGTGGATATGTTTCCATGGCCTGTTGTTTCTTCTAGGAGCTGGTATGGGGCCCCTTCTTTTCTTACCTATTTATTTTTAAAAACTTTGTGGTGCTGGGGATAGAACCCAGGACTTTGGGCATGCTAGGCAAGTACTCCACCATTGAGCTATACTCCTATCCCTTGGTATTTTTGTGACAGGGCTGCACTATGTACTTCAGGCTGACTGGGAACATGTGCTGCTCCTACCTCCACCTTCTGAGTGCTGGGATTACAGGTGTTCACCACCAGGCCCAGCTGGCATGGGTCCCTTTATGGGTGCCCTCCCCCACTTGGGCTAGATACATATGGCTTGAAAGCAGATACTTCTATGTTCCTTCATGCCTTTGCTTCCTCTTCATCACCTTGGGTATGAGTCTGCCTCTTGGTAAATCCTGTGGACTTGGAATTTGTGCAGCTTCCTACCTCCCAAGACTACCTCCTTTACCTAGGGTGTGGGGGTTGGTCTTCATGTAGCAAATATTTTTTGAAAGCCTATGAGCTGAAGGAGGGCTTATGGGACACAGCTATGAGCAAGGCCAGCTCAGGGGGATGCAGTTTTGTGGAGCTGAAGTCTGTGGGACTGACATATTAAGCAGATAATCACAAGTGCCTGAGGGCCATAAAATGGTTGGTCTTCTGGAAAGCACAGTACCAGCCAGTGACCTAGTGCCACGGACTATAAGTGTCTGTGTACGTGGGATGGGAGGACGGCATGCATTAGAGGGATGAAAATACAGCTAAGAGTGACAATGGCTGAGAGGATGGCAAAGGATGCCCTAAGGTACAAGCACATTCAAGGACATGTCTGCTAAGTAGTGAGGGAAGGGTGCAGTGGATGTGGGAGGCTCTTTGGGAGAGAGGAATGACCAAACTTTATGATGGAGAGGTGTGGGGATATGAGGAAGGACTGAGGGCAAAGATTATCAGTGGTTTCTGGCCCCAGTATCCACAAGGATAATGTCAGCATTGCCTGAGATGGGGCACACAAGTGACCTGGGGTGCAGGGTTTGCATCTGCTCCATACTCCACCTCCACCAGCCTCAGAGCTCCTGGGCAGCCACTGAGTGGTGCTTGTGACTGGGGGGTGAATCAGAGGTGGGCATGGAGGAGTAGTCCTGGGGAGTTTCCCAACCACCTTCTTTTGATTGCTGTACTCTCTCAGCCACGTGTGGAGATGTTTGCCCTAGTGTGGCATTGGTCAGCTGGTCCCCTTCACATAACCCCTTTAAAAGGTCCAGAGGAGATAAATCCTACTAGTTATAGTCTTTCAGTGTCTCGGGATATTGGATCCAGGGATCCCTCGCAGGTATCAAGATTCATGGATGTTCAAGTCCCTTACATAAAATGGCATAATACTTGCACATAACTTAGGCACATCCTCCCGTAGAGTTTAAACCACCTCTACATTACTTAAAGCGACTAATACAATGTAAGTGCTATTAAAATAAACACTTGCTATACTGTATTGTTTAGGGAAAATAAGGACAAGAAAAAAATAGTCTGTACATATTCAGCACAGACACAATTTTTAAAAACATATTTTTCATCTGAAGTTGAATCCATGCCTATGGGACCCACAGATTCAGAAGATGGACTGTATGTTTACTTTTTAAAAAAAAATTTTCTTTTTTTATTATAAAATTTTTATAAGCATATATTCATTATACAGGGGTGACATATTCCGATTAGACTTATCATGTATATTATTTACATTTTCCCTCATCTCTCCCCCTCAACCCCTCCCCACCCTACCCAAAGCAATTGCAAGAGGTTTTTACTGTCACCTTAATCTCCTTCCTTTACCCTCCCCCTCCCATTAGTACCCCCCTACACACACACACTGTAAAAAAATTATTTTCTTTCTGTCCTGAAGAGAAGTGTCTATTCATGGTCATGGTAGAAAATCCAGAAAGTACAGAAAGTGAAATACAAAAGAAAACCTTCCACTCTCCCTGGCACCCTGGGATGACCATGTTAAAATATTTTCGTGTGTTTACCACCAGGAACATGAATGCTATAGTGATGGAACCACATAGGCCCTGACTTTTTCCAAACAGCCTTATATTATGAGGTTTTCTTTCTGTGACCAGCACACATCCTTTTATTTTTTTAAAGAAAAATACTGCTTGCATAATATTCCATCACCTGGTCATTTCATTAGAAATGTTCTGTTATACCACTACTCAATACGGGGTAAAGAAATTAGTCCTTCACACTTTCATGTCAATCAACATTTTGTCTTTCTTTTTTCTGTTTAATGCCACAAGTAAGATAGGGGTACATTCATTTATAAAATAAATTCAAGTAATGCAGTTCTGTATGGAATACAAAAGGAGAATCCTTTTTCTGCCCCTCCTCCTCTCATCCAACCTAACAAGGGCTAAGGCTGAGGGATTGGCACATCTCCTGAAAACTTTGAAAACGTTTCAACAACTTGTTCTTTTGGGAAAAGGGGAGCAGGAAGGGTTTTGAGTGCAAGAATGAGTGCTCCATATACCATCTCAGTACTCTGTGAGAGCCCACTTGTGCCTGACACTAAACTAGCCCCTGTGGTAGAGTTGCCAGATTTTGCCAATTAAAATGCCAGACAGCAAGTTAAATTTGAATTCTGGATAATTGATAAATAACCCTTTGTCTAAGTATATCCCAAATATTGTGTGGAAGACTTATTCTAAAAATCATTAATGCTAAGTAAAAATACTAAATATTATTCAGCAATAAAAAGGGAGGCCAGTTATGAAAGGATAAATACTGTATGATTTTAGCTGCTGCTGGCAGCTCACGCCTGTAAGCCTATCTACTTGAGAGGCTGAGATTGAAAGGACACTGGTTTGAGGCCAGTTTAGGCAAAAAGTTAATGAGACCCCATCTTGACCAATAGCTGGACATGCCTGTCATTCCAGCTACTGCAGAAAGCATAAAAATAGGGGGATCACAGTCCAGGCCAGCGAGGGTATATAGTGAAGACCCCCATCTCCAAAATAACCAGGGCAAAAAGTCTGGAGGAATGGCTCAAGTGGTATAGTACTTGCCCAGCAAGCACAAAGCCCTGAGTTCAAACCCAGTACTGCCAAACAAACAAACAAAAAATAATGTCTGATTCCACTTTCTGTGAGTTACCCTGAGTGTTTATAATTCATAAAGATGAAAAGCAGATGATAGTTGCCAGGGTCTAGGGAAAGGAACAATGGGAATCAAGTTTCAGTTTTGCAAGAAGAAAGGAGTCCTATGGGTGGATGGTGGTAACAGTGACCCCACAGTGTGAGTATACTTAAAGCCACTGAGCTGTACACTTGAATAGTTAACATGGTACATTTTATGATATGTATATTTTACCACAACTAAAAAAAAATACTTGGCACTGAAAAGTTACTCACTTATCTGAAATTCAAGCTCAAGTGGACATCCTGTGGGCTGTCTGTGGGGATGACAGATGGAAAGGAGGTGATGAGATGGGTCATCCCAGAGGAGTCCTGTGTCTAGCCAGCTTCCCAGGACTCTGTTTCTGCCTTTTATCACAAGGAGCTGAGAGGGTGGGGCAGGAAATGGGACCCCATTTCTTAGTGCAGCCACCAAGGCTCCGTGTTTCCTTCTAGCTTCCTGGACAACCTGGCATGGCTTATAAACACATGTTAGCCATGGGCCTGTGAGAAGGGCAGTTCATCCATCCTCTGGACTCAATTTCCTTGCTGTAAAATGAGGAAGTTGGGCTCGATGACCTTTGCAGTTGCAAAGATCTGTGAAGCTAGCTATACAGTTGCTGTAATAATTTTAAGAAGGTCTGGAAATTTTTCTACAACAGGAAATCTTTTAGTATGTCTATAAACATATCCATTCATAGTTACTGTTGTTTTCATATTTCTGAATATTTTAACTATTTTCTTGTTCCTTTAATCTGCTAATAAATGAACTCCCAAAGTAAAGACAATTGTAGCTCCGCATTATTAGTTAAAATCATATACAGCCAACCCTCAGTATCTATGGAGAATGGGTTCCAAGATTCCCTTCAGTTTCCAAAACCCCTACATGCTGAAGTAATGGTGCAATATTTTGGATATAAACTAAGGACATCCTCCTGAATACTTTCATTTATCTCTAGACTATTTATAATCTTAGTTGGATATTTATAAGAATACCTCCTGAATAATGTAATTTATCTGAATCCAATAGATGCAGAACCTGCAGATACAAAAGACTTGAGTGTACTTAGAGTTACGTTTTCAACCAACCAGAGTCAGAGGGGCAGCAATGGGAAGAGCTGATAGGTAGTTTCCATGCAAAACCATATGGAGAGTTACTCAACCCCCTGGTGCCTCAGTTACCTCATTTGTAAAACAGAGAGAATCATAGTATCTCATTTGCAGTGTCGCTATGAAGATTAGATTGTCTGATCACTTCAAATAGTGTTTGTATGATACACACACTATGTACCATACGTACACTATGATGTATGTACCATATGGTACAGTAGTCAGTAAATGAGTTGCTGTTATTATTGTTGCCTTTTTATAACCTATTCGTATTATACATCCTTGGGATATGATTGGTCAAATTGTTGGGTAAAAGAAGCCTGGCTTAATTGCTCTTTGGGAAGAGAAAGACTTTCTAAATACAAACACAATGGAAGAAATCCCAAAGGAGAAGAGAGAAATATTTGCTTACTAAAAATGGAAATGTTATGTATAGCAAAACATAAACAAAATTAAGAGGAAAACAACAATTTAGAGAAAACATTTTCCACAAGCATAACACATAAAAACTCAGTATGAATAATATTTATAGAGCACCATGCAAAATACTGTGTTTAACAGTAAAACTCCAGTAGAAAAAGGACCAAGAGACAAAGAGGCAATTCATAGAAGAAACGCAGAAAGGCTTGTTGATGTTTGGAGAGGTCCAATAATAATACAAAAAACATGAAAATTGAAATGGCTTAAGAAGAAAAGTCTAGGTTTTTGTTATGAAGTGGTGTCTTTTTTCCTTTCTGTCTTAATGAAAAATGTGTTATGTTTTTCATCATCACACCATAATTAGGTCTGCTATGACCTCTTCCATGGTTTATGTAGCTGATTTCACACAGTATCATCTTTATGTGGTAGTAAGTTGTTGAAAATTTTAAGTACATTTACTCTGGAACCTGGAGGGATTACCTAGGACATTGCTGGGAGGAGTGACATTATAATTTGAGGAGTGCCCCATTAAGCACCTTCCAAGTGGGATATGTTAACAGGTTGGGAAGAATTCTAGCCACTGAAAGTGTTTGGGGCCCCTCTCTTCTCAACTATAAAATAATTTTCAGGCTAAAGTAAATGTTTAAAAAGTCTAGCTAAATTGCTTTTTTTCAGTTTTACTTTTTAAAAATCAAATGTTTAAAATGCATTCACATATATATACACATATACATATGTGTATGTGTATGTGTGTGTGTAAACTTACTGTTGTCCCAAGAATGTGCTTAGTTTGACTTTTGGATCATGGACTATGGGGTGTAGTTAATAGGAGTGGCCCTGGTGCGATCCTGGAATCTTGCACAACTGTTTCTTCCCTTGCTATACACAGCTGTTCTGATATTGACACAACCCATGAGCTGCTGGGATCCCGTAAGTCACCCAGCTATAGCTGAATCTCCGGTAGCTACACATGTCCTTAATTCAGTTGAAACCTCCAGATCTTGCAGCAACGCCTGAAGGATGCAGAAGATACCTTGCAGTCACTGGTCCACACCAAAGCCACCCTGGAGCATGAGCTGGCTGTCAAAGCCAATACTCTGTACATTGACCAGGAGAAATGCATGGGCATGCGGAAGAGCTTCCCCAACACCCTCCGGCTGGTCGGCTTCTGTTAGGGACTCCAAATCGTGGAGTAAAGGCAGGAGCAGGACACTGTCTAAGCATTTAACCGACTGTTAGTATATTCACATAATAAAGGATTGAGTTGATAGAAACATACCAATCTCTTTTCTTGGAAAGCCTTTTTGTTTGTGTCTAAACCTTAATTTTCTACTTTCTACTAGGCTTCAGCTTATGGGAAGGCTATTAAGAATATAACCATCCTGGGCTGGAGGTGTGTTCAAGTGGTAGAGCACCTGCCTAGAATGCATGTGTGAGGCCCTGAGTTCAAACCCTAGTACTGCCACACAAAAAAGAAATATAACCATAACCAAGCTAATAGAGAAGGTAAGCAGGATGGTATGTGTGATGGTAGGAGTCTTACTCGTCTATGTGTAACATGAATGACCTGAGGTGGTCAGGTCAGGAATCACTATCATGTAGTTTGAGTGTTGAAATTCTCCACAGGCCCATGTATTAAAGACCTGGTGTTCAGGGTGGTGCTATTGGGAGGTGGTGGGACCCTTAGGGGGTGGGGCCTAGTGGGAGGTCTTTAGATCATTGGGGGTGTGCCTTTGAAGGTGATTGTGGGACCCCAGCCCTTTCCTTTTCCTCTCATTTGCTCCCTGGCCATGAGGTGAGCAGTTTGCTCCACCACACCCTCCTCACCATTGCCACCCAGCACCCCCTTCATGAGGCTCAAAGCGATGAGTCTGCTTGTCATAGTCTAGAACCTCCAAAACTGTGAACCATAACAAACCTTTTCACTTTATAGCTTAACTGTATCAGGCATTTTGTTAAGCTGATGGAAGCTGAGTAGCACAAGAAATGGTGTGTTTTGAAAACTGCTTTAAAGCACACACAGCAAGGAGAGGAAAGTTCTCTTAGGGGTGAGGTGGTTGGGGTAGTTTAAGATAAATCAAAGTTAGAAAAACAGTGCATTTGGAGCAACAGTAAGTAGGCCAGTTTGGTTTTGATTCACAATGTAGTGTATACCTAAAGAAATAAAGGGGCAAGACACCTGGAAGAGGAGGGAGTGGGGGGCTCTCAAGCCCAGGCTAAGGTGTTGGGGTAGGTATCTCTGAGCAGGGAGGTCTTTGTGGAAGGAATGCTTGAGCAATGCAAGTTTGATCTGGAGAGATGGCAATGGAAGCAGAGGATACATATGGTATGTGTACAAATCAGCGGACTTGGAAACTGCTCATATGGGTGCCAAGGATCCAGGATGATATTGAGGCATCAGTGCCAGAGGGGCTAGAAAGGGGCTACTGCCTAAATTTTAGAAGGTTCTATACTATCTCAAAGGTTATTTTAAAAATGGCCATTGGTATGGTTTGAGTACAATCCTTGGAATTCATGTTTTGAAAACTTAATCTCCAAAGTCATATGTTAAATGGTGATTGGAAATGGGGCCTTTGGGAGTTGTGAGTCATGGGGCCTGCCTTCAGGAATGGACAATTCCACTCATAGATGGATGGATTAGTGGTTTCTCCAGGGAGTGGCTTTATTAGTGAAGTGAGCTCTCCTCTGGCTACTTGCTCTGTCTCCCCATGTGATTCCTTCCTCCAAGCAAGAAGACCCTCAACTGTGCTGAGAAGATACAGAGCCATGCACTTGGGCTTCCCAGCCTCCAGAACCAGGAACTAAATTAACTTCTTTATAAATTACCCAGTCTATATAGTGTTCAGTTATAGCAGTATCAGACAGATTTAAGACAACTGTTTTACTCCATTATGGTCGGGGTACACATTGTCTGAAATATATTTTGGAAAATAGGGAAAACACACAAACACACAAAATCTCTTGAAAAAGAAGTTCCTGAAAATCACTCATGTAACACTCAGAAATGATCACTGACATTTGTCAACCTTTAATTGTATATTCTTTCATCCTTTGCCATGATTTTATATATATATATAGTAACATGTAATGTTTCTATTTATTTCCAAAGATAAATAGCATATAATATTCATATTTAAATACATAATTAATAACATTTGGGATCATACAGTTAAAAGTTACTTGAGAGAATTTCTGAATTTACAGAGGTAAAAATATGCAGATGTTTTCTGTATGGTTTATACCTTTAGGGTTATGTTCAGAAAGCACATCCTCCTCCCAAGATTATTTACTTCTAGCTCTTTTATGATACCTGAGATTACTGTTAGCCACCTGGAATTCATGTTGAAGTGACATAGATGGTATAATAGTTTTGAATCCTTGGCTCTGGAGCCCTGAAATTGGAAGATGGGACTACGGGAGAGAAGGGATTTCTCTCTTATTTCTCACCATTCTCATTTCTCTTCTGTCTGTTTCAATTTATCTCACTCTTTTTTTTTTAGTGCCTCTCTCTGTGTTCTTTTTGCTCTGTCTTAACCATTGTCCATTAACATTAAATTTTACTTCCTCTTTCCCCCTCCTCTTCCTCCTCTCCCCCCATGTCTCACTGTCTGTCTCTGTCTCTCTCTCCCACTCCTTCCCTATTTCTTAAAAGGTTTTAAGACATTGGTTGGTCAATTCCACAAAACATCTTAAAATGCCAGAAGAGCTGACATTCAGATGATAAATTTATAACTTGTACCAAGCTATTTTTGTGGACTCAGTATATCATTTTGGAAATCAAATTGCAGGTTTTGTCATTCATCCTTTGCTTCTAATGGAAACAAAGACATGGGAATGGCACTAAAACCTTTAGCAGTTAGAGTAATCAAATGTCATAAGTTTATGGATTTTTTAAAAACACAAATTTCATGTATTTATTATTCATTATGTGTTTGGGGAGAAGCCATCCTGACTTTTTCCATGAAGTGCATTTTAAAAATTTTGTTCTTGAAGAATACATGCTTATGTAGTCGTTTTACTTAAGTCTATATTCCTGGCATTACAAGACTATGATGGGAAGAAAATACAATTTAGACATAGAAAAGGTCTAGGTTTCTTGTTATTTTGGTAAACTGTGGGCAAGGCTAAATTCTGCAAATAAACATTTGGTTTCTAGTCTAAAACATCGTAGCTATTTCATGATAGCAAATACTCTAACACTGAGGTCTAGGAACAGCCGAGACTCAGATGTGATCCCGTTTAAGAATCTCGGGTCTGCAAATACTGGTACATGATCTGGTTTTATCTATTTAGGCCCAAACTATCTTCAATATTATGTGGCTGGAATGTCAAAAGCATCCACTTACTCAAGCTTCATTCAGATTTAGAAATGTGTGCAATTGCCCCTAAATAGCCAAGCTGCTATAATTTTAGTACTTCTACTTATGTTTTAGAGATGTGCCATAAAAACACCTCTCACCTGGCACTTTTTGCCTCATGAGTTCATGCTGTAAATAGATGAACAGTGAGGTCTGGTTTTAGGTTATAATTTTTGTTTTGCACTGAGAACAGGGATGCATTCCTTCCTTTTTTTTTTAATGTAGACTGACCCAGAGCACATGGGGGAGAGTGGAGCTGTTACTCACTCCTGTACCCCAGGTCTTCCCTTCCAGTCTACCCTCCTAGCCCGGCCCTTCCATTGACTTTCATTGCCAAGACCAGCCTTCTATGAAGTGTACTCTTTTGATATTTTTCTGAATCCTGTGTACAGTTAAGATACCTGGTCTGCCAATGTATTCATTGCACTCATGGGGAAGAAATCTCCTTTCACCAACGAATGGCAAGTTGATTGCACCTTGCGGACCAGCATTGGTCCCATTAGTGAATGCCTTATTTGGAGCGTGTTGGAAGTGTTGCTCAGACTCCTAAAGTAATCTAGCAAGCACCAATTGACAGTGCCATCTGCAGGAAGTCCGAGATGGGACAAAATGTTCATCACACCATCACTTTGTCAACTCCTCCTATATTCTTAAAACTGGTTCTTCAGATGTGATCCGTTTAAGAAATCTCGGGTCTGCAAAATACTGGTACATGATCTGGTTTTATCTATTTAGGCCCAAACTATCTTCAATATTATGTGGCTGGAATGTCAAAAGCATCCACTTACTCAAGCTTCATTCAGATTTAGAAATGTGTGCAATGGCCCCTAAATAGCCAAGCTGCTATAATTTTAGTACTTTCTACTTATGTCTTTAGAGAATGTTGCCATAAACACCTCTCACATGGCACTTTTGCCTCATGAGTTCATGCTGTAAATAGATGAACAGTGAGGTCTGGTTTTAGGTTATAATTTTTGTTTTGCACTGAGAACAGGGATGCATTCCTTCCTTTTTTTTTTTAATGTAGACTGACCCAGAGCACATGGGGGAGAGTGGAGCTGTTACTCACTCCTGTACCCCAGGTCTTCCCTTCCAGTCTACCCTCCTAGCCCGGCCCTTCCATTGACTTTCATTGCCAAGACCAGCCTTCTATGAAGTGTACTCTTTTGATATTTTCTGAATCCTGTGTACAGTAAGATACCTGGTCTGGCAATTATTCATGCACTCATGGGGAAGAAATCTCTTCACCAGAGATGGCAAGTTGATTTCACCTTGGGGACCAGCATGGTCCATTAGGAATGCTTATTTGGAGTGTTAAGTTTGCTCAGACTCCTAAGAATCTAGAGCACCAATTGACAGTGCCATCTGCAGGGAGTCCCAGATGGAAAAATGTCATCACACATACTGTCATCCCCTATCTAAATGGTTCTGAATTGTCCTCATCTGGAGTCCTTTAAACATCAAAAGGATTCTGTTGTGCAACATATGGCTTATTTTTCTGGGAATTTTCTATTGTACTAATTTTGCTAGGAGCTAATAAGAGACTATCTGCTAGTCTAAACCACTCTACAGTGGTTTACAGCTACTTTAAAAACATCACCATAATCCCCAAAACAACTCAGAAGGTATTGTGGTAGAGAAGGAGCCTATGGGGACAGGGAGCCTTTCATTGCTATTGCCAATGATATCTCTGGTGTGTGGATGGGTTATGGGAACCAGAAAAACAAACAAACATCATCAAAAAATCCTTTTACCTCTCAATCATCTTTTCCTTTCTGTATGGGAAGGTAATTTTTGAGATGATATCTTCAGAGTAA